TTTTTTTTTTTTTTTTTGGTTTAATTCCTGGGAAAACCCTATCCCACTCCCACACCTGCCTTCTTTCCCCAACGAGTCTTCCATATGACTGAAAGTTATGATATCACTAACCTGCAAATTGTAATTCCTTGATGAGATGGATTCCCATCTGTTCTCTTTGGGATGATAATCTGCTATTTGAAGACTATTAGTGTACATTTCAGAAGATTCTTTTATAGAAAATAAAATCTCATTGCTGGTCAATTTGGTTATATGAGTACATTCGTAAGCAAATTATGAAGGGTGGATTGTTTTAATTGCGGTGATAAGATGTAATGTATTCGACTGACTTATCAGGCGAAGGCAGTAGGAACACTTGGCTACTATGGGAAGTTCTCAGCATATGATGAGTATGTTCCCATGGTTGACAAGGCTGTTAATTCTGGATGGAAGAAGCAAACAGGTCCAGAGAAGCTTCATATATCTAAAGGTAATTAAATTGGCTGCTACTGATATAATGTTTTCATTGTGTGTATAAGAATAATGTTTATATAACATGAATATTGTCCCCATAGTTCTCCTATATAATAATTCACCTTTTTGGGAAAGGAATCGTTTAGTATATATGGATGAGAAAAACACGTAATATGTGATGTTTTTACTTTTTCCTTTTACACATGGTTGCTCTTAGTCCACTTCATGGGTATCTTCATATAGCAACTTTTTGTTATGTAATTGTAAGTTGAATAAGCAAATTGCTCTAGTTGTAGGTTGAAGAAGATGATTTTTTTTAAGAAAAAAAAATATGCATGTGTTAACTGTTTCATGCTTCCATTTCAATTTCAACCAATTGTTCACTGAGATTTGGCTTTTTTACTTTTTAACCAGAGATGTTTCCAAAATGTGATTCCCCAAAGGTACCGGAAGGATATCGTGCTCGTCTCTTGGCTGCTCTTATGAGCTTCCTCACGACTCTCTTCCTTTTCTTCGGTGTCATGAAGAAACTTGGTGCTGACACAGAAACTAAGCATGATGACCAAACAAGTCGAGGATTTTCCTTTGGCACGAATACCAAGGAGGAGTTTAGACCTCCATCACCAACACCATCTTTTACAGAAGCTGAACTTCTAACATCTGTTGTCAAGAGGTTGAGTGAGCTCGAGGATAAGGTCGACACTCTCCAGTCAAAGCCATATGAGATGCCTTACGAGAAGGAGGAGCTTCTAAATGCTGCTGTTTACCGAGTGGATGCCCTGGAAGCAGAGTTGATTGCAACCAAAAAAGTACGTTCATTTAATATATGCGTATAAATAACATTTAATATACTTGGTCAACATCCTTGTTATAATTTTCAAATGATTTCTGTTTATATTTTTTGTTGGGATCGTTTGTTCACTTTGCCTTGTTACTTTAATCACGTTTAAGAATGTCTGTGACTATCCAAATAAAGGTTAATTACAAAAAGAAACAGAATATAAATAGAAAGAAGAGGTTTATTTCCCAAATAAATCATGAGCTTTTCTAGTTAGGGCAAAATGGCAATTCAAGTTACTGGGCCGAAATTCTTGGCATGCCCTCCCATGTAGCAGAAAATTATCACCTTTGCCAAAATTGCAAATTTACTATGTATTTATTTCATAATGGTTCACAAATGTTACATTAGTAATAGATTGATGAAGTCGTGTAGTTATTTATCAATTTCAGAAGCTTAGGTTAAATTTTCAAATTTGGTAAAGTTAGTGGTTTTCTTTGCAATTTAAAATGATATGTGGGCAATTTTTTGGCCCATTTGGGAGTATATGTCATCTATTTTAGCCCGTTGATTTGAATTGCAAGATTTCCTTTTGTACATTTTTTTGCAAATTGAAAACGTTCGATTAAATTAGCAATCAAATTTTAAAGTTTTTCTTTTCTTTTTTATTTTTTGTTGGGAATTAAGCCACAAGAAAAAACAATCATGTGTTTTATTGGTTGGAAAACCCATCTGTATTTCTAAACTATAAATACGATCTGTGAAATTTGTTTTTTGTTCCGAAATTTGCTCATGCTCCCTACAACGAATGACATTTGTTTCTAAAGTGTGGCTGAAGGAGTCGTTTGTAATACCTTAGGAGCTTATTTTCAGATATGGAAAAGAATTTCTGTAATTACCCATATGAACACACTCTTTCTTTGTGTCTCTCTATCTCTCTCTGTCTGTCTCTCTCTCTCTCTCTCTGTCTCTCTCTCTCTCTATATATATATATATATATATAATGTGTGTGTGTAGGCTCTGCACGAGGCTTTGATGAGGCAAGAGGAGCTGCTTGCTTATATAGACAGCCAAGAAGAAGCCAAGTACCAAGTAAGTTGACATATTATTGACCTGAAAAAGTATAAAGTTGCGAGTGCATTCTTTCTTCCCATTAGGCCCCTTTCGTTTTTTGTGCAAATATCTATCTGGTGCTGAAATGCCTTATATTGTAACTTGGTTCAGAAGAAGAAATCCTGCTGGTGATGACCTTGCTGGGGAGTTTTGATGGTAGTGTTTGGGACATGACTCCGTTTGCACTCAATGCATTGCTCATTGACTTGTATATAAATGTCTTGGATACTATTGTGAGTAATTTTATCAAGAAACCCATCCTGTTATGGAAACTCTACTCATGTAAGATCTATTGTCATACACCCCTGTATTTAAATACTAGCTCTGATACTCGTGCAATGCTCGGGGTATGGTATGTTTTTTTTTCTTCTTTTCTATTTGTTTAGCTTATTTTTCGAAGCGTCTCTACTTTTGACTATTTAACTAGTACGGTACCCGTGCATTGCACGGGAGCATTTATTACCTATTTTGTTTTTTAAATGATATTTTTTATTTAAATTGTCCATGGCATTAACAATATCATGAAAAAAAAATTATATGTTATTAAACACTTCTTTGTGTACAACATTATTGGTTTGATTCTTTAGTACGTAAAGTACTATATAGGTGATCGAATTTATCAATTGATTATTATTCGTTATTAGTTAACAAATTTTGTAAAAGTTAAAGGATCTTATTTATTAAATAAAATTATAGTAGAAAAAGGTAGAAATTTTTGGGGATTTTCATCAATTATTTGTTTTAAATCTAATTCTAAATTTCAATTAAGAAAAATTGAAAAGAATCATTAGTTACTCCTGAAAATGAAACTGATTTTTTTATCAAACAAATTGAATTGAAAATAATTCTAATAAAAATTTGAAATAATTTTTTAATGTGTATGCAACTGTCTCTTTCCTAAAGAAAATGATATGAACTTAACCAACAAAAAAATTGATATGAACATACCAAAATCTCGGTTAAACATGGTTAAGAAAAAAATATAAGAATTCAAAAAAATCGATGCCTTTAAATTTTGAAAAGTTGCACACAAATTTTTCTAAATAATTGGATAAGGTGACTTTAAATATCAAAGATGAACCGCATTTGCTACTGAAAAATGTGGACACAATTTTGAATGTACATCTTGTCCAAATATCAGCTTTATTTTAAAATAAAAACTGAACGTGGTTTTATCCAATTTACACACTTTTTTTAAAAGAAAAAATTATTCAATAAGATTGAAGAATTTGGTTAAGAATTACACAACTATTTGTTTCTTAAATTTGTATCTAATTTGCACGGTTTTTAAATTAATTTGTATTTAGAATTGTTTTAATAAATAATTGACAAAATTTTTTGCATAAGAATCTGCAAATTTGTTACCAAAAAAAGATATGACTTAAATTTTGGTAAAAATTATAAAATATGATACGAAAAAAATGGAATTCAAATTTTGCCATAAGAATCTCCAAATTTGTTGCAAAAAAAATAGGATTCAGATTTTGTTACTAAAAATTCCATGTATTTTTCGAGTTTTCCATTAATAGTAAGTCAAACACTATATTTATTCGGTCAAACTTTCTATTTAAGAATTTTCCAACAACTTTTTTATATATACCTAATGCAAGTGTAAGCGTCCGGGTCCGGTTTGGAGTGGATCGATTCTTGTCCTTGCCGATAGAACGCCGAGAACCTGCAAATAACTCTCACACCGGGGGTTGGATCCGGTGAAGAGCCTCCGATGCTTAAGTCAGTATGTGTATGAGTATACTGGAATTTAGAGAATGAATAGAATGTGTTAAGGAAGAAAGGCTCATCCCCCTTTTATAGGGGTGAGATACCTGCCCTAATAGCTGCCCGGATAAGGATACGTGTGCTGCCCAAGCTGCCCGTCCGTACTCTGACACGCCGCACACATGTCAGAGGTGCTGCAGGACGTTGGGCGCTGTCAGAGGTGGTTATCGCTATCACCCAATACATTATCAACACGTGTCCACCCGGCACATGGGGTAAATATTCTCCTGAAGCTCAGTCAGAGATCCTCACGCGCATCTGCTATGCACGCGTCTGGGTCTATGTCGATTAACTTGCTCGATCACTCAGCTTGTTCGATCACTGGTCTGATCGATTAATGGGTAGCTCGACCAGTCTGATCGAGCATCGGGCTGCTCGATCACCTGTGCAGTCAAGCTTCGGATTGTTCGATCGCTTGTGTGGTCGAGCCTTGGGCTGCTCGATCACGTGGATTCCCGCCTTTCGGCTTGGTTCGCTTCCGGTCTGCTCTTCTCGACCGGCTCACCAAATCGGCTCGTCTTTGTACAGATAATATCCTATATCATCTAGTCCCCCCCACTCTGGTCGAGTCTGAATGACTCGATCTAAGAGTAAGTTCATGCTTATCGATCTTCTGGGTGGCCCATCATTGGGTGTCGACCAGTTGAAGGGTTTCCCGCCTATTCTTTTGAATAATTTTTCATTAATTTCCAGTAATAAAGTTGCCTGTCCCACGTCTTTCTTGTCGCGCCCACTTTTTCGCCACGCGTCCCACCTTTTCGCGTGTGTCAGATGCTTTAATTATGACGCCTCCTCGCCTAACGCGCCCGCTTGGAGTACCGTGTCATTTAATATCCCCGCCGCACGATCTAGCTTTAATCCGACGGTCTTCCTTCTTTCCCTTTTAATTTTCCCCAAGTATAAAACCAGTACTTAGCGAAATTTCAGACTTTTTCCACCTTCGTCTTCCCCAAATTCCTTTGTATTCAAAGTTGTCCCTGCAAAAATCCTAGCTTCCGTCGGCGAATTTTCCTGCAATCTTCAAGCTTTTTCCTGATCCTCTCCTCCGTGATTATGAGCAAGTTGTTTTTCTCTTGATTTTATGTTTCATGTGTCTGGGCTTTTGTATTTTGAGAAATTTTTTCTCTCTTTTCTTTTTCGAATTGGGTATCCGAAGTTTGTTGATTGAGTGTTTTGAATCTGTGCATCGAATTTTGTGTTTGTCTGTTGGTCGCTATAGATTTAGCTCTTCCCCTTTGAAATCCTTTCGGAATCTCTGTTCCCTTTCTTCAAAATAGCCCCTTTTCGTGGAACCCTAATTTCTAAAACCTTCTCTGCCTACCCTTTTCCTCTTTTTTGATATTGTTTTCTTTCTTCTTTTGTTTTCAGATCCTGCTACCTCGACTATTTCCTCTGGTTCAGTCAAAATATTGCCGTCTGCACTTGAAGCCGTTCCTCTTTCGGTTCTTCGCCCTGGTGATACTTTCCCTACCCGTGTCTTCACAGCTCGTGTTGCTTCTCCCAATTCAGGGGATTCCATGGATAATATCCCTCTTCGTCGCCGCCGCCCTGCTTTTGGCTCGATGGATGAGCCTGAGGAGGACGAGGTCGTTTCTTCCCAGCCTACTGCTCCTTTCCCTTCTAATTCTCCCCCTAAACATTCTTCGACCAAGAAACCCCCCAAGAACTCATCTTCTACTACCCTTTCTCATTCCTGGTTTAAACCTGATAAAATCGGCCAACCTCTTGGTTGGACGTTCATTAGACCTTCCCCTTCTGATCGGTATGATCAACCTCCTCGAGACTGTTACCCCTTCTTCGAAGTTCAGTTTAAGCTCGGGATGCGTTTTCCTTTGAACCGTGACGTAGTCCGTATCTACGAGTGGTTCTCGCTTCCCTTGCATCAACTCCCTCCTAACGCCATCCGTTTTATCAACACCTTCATCATCCTCTGTCATATCCGTCTAGGTCGATTCGACCTAGACTTCT